TTGACTGTGTTGAATATTTCATCACAAGGGATATCTATTTCAAATCACGAACTATGAAGGATCTTCTTAATAATATAAGTTCTCATTTAATTATTGCATTTTTAAAAGAATTAGATTTGTTAACTGATTTGTAAATAGATACATATTTTTTTATTGGTAGTTTAGATTAGTAACTGAGACTGTTAGTGGCTGTATCCTCAAAGGGGGTTGAAGTAGCGTGAAATTATTGTCCTCCTGAGAGTGTACGTAAGTCCCGAAACATTCAAAGGAAATTTTAAATTACCAGCTGTTTTAAATGTAGTATTTTTGTTTTTTTAAATTTCGGATAAATCTTCCTACCATCACCAGCGGCTGAAGGGATGATTTAAATCCAGCTAGGGTCCATGCAGGTAGCAAAAGTAATGTAAGACCCCAGGGTCCCTAGTTTGGTGATCTACCTTTAGTTGTTGGCGATCTATAGACAGTTTTTATATTGTATTGTCCAAATAGTGCTATTAGTTTTAACTTTCCACACAAGTTTTAGTTGTAATTGTGATATTCTAGTTGTTTTACTGTCCTTTGAAGACATGTTTTTCTAATATACACATATTACATTTCAATGACAAATATGTTCTCGTCACGATATGGCTGAGATATTGCCGATGTGACGTTAAATTTTATCTCACTCACTCACTCACTCACTCACTCAAGAGATCCATATTTGCTGTATAGCTGAATTCTATTGTCCGACCCTTTTGGGGCTCTGCCACTTTGGGTTTTTTTAAGCATCAAGCTTCGGTTTATTTTTGCTTTTAACAATTTGCTGAGTATCAGATGACGATTGAGATTGTGAACGTGACTGAGAGGATGACTTATGATCAGAAGATGACTCTGACTGCCTTTCAGACGTACTAAGAAGTGCCTGTAGTTTGAGATGATATTGCAGGATGCAAAAGCTGTGGATTGTCGCATTTGACCCAAGTCAAGTTTGTTTGACAGCTTGTGGATGATGTAGATACTTTAGGGCTTGACTCAGTTGGTGTTTTGGTTATTGAAGCATAACTTTCTGTAAGTTCAGATCTCTTTACAAGTTTTTGGCATCAGAAAAACTGATGTTTTGGGTAAATTTGATCTTGTTGATCTGCATTTGTTCTTTCCAAATCGGACACTCTTTTGAGAAAAGATGAATGTTCTCCTGAACAGTCTTCTCACCACAGTGAGCATATACAACGGACCATGTGCAAGTATTTACACCATGGCCATACTTCTGGCATTTAAAGCATCTGAGCGGATTAGGAATGTAGGTGTCAACATTGATATTGCAGTAACCTGCCTTCAGTGATTTGGGAGCAGTTGGTGACGAAAAGGAAAACAGATAAGTATTGGTTTTAACAGTTTCATTGTTTTTACGGGTTGAAAAGCGTTTTACGTAGAGTACACCTTGATCTTTCATTTCAGTCACGATGTCAAGTTCTGACATGTCAGAAAACAATCGATCACAATCTCTGATGATGCCTTTGCTTGTGTTTAATGTCTTCTGAGCAGAGACAGCGACCGGAATGCCGACGAACGATTCAGTGCTCAACAGATTGGCTGATTGCTGCCGTTTCCCGCATTCAACCAGTAATGCACCTGAACGTAACCGTTTAATGTTCTTAACTTCGCCTGCGATACCTTGAATACCCTTGGCAACTGCGAAAGGGTTCAACTTTAATGGTGTTTTGTCAACAGCTTCAATCACAAGAAAGCGTGGCCAAAAGTCTATTGATTTAGACGGTCTAAGGTCATCATCATCAGGATCATTTTCAAGAGGACGTTTTGTTTTCTTGATGGGGGTTTCATAAGCCATGTTTAGTGTAGATATTTCATCATCCGAGCTCCCCACCCACCACGGAGTATCACAAGCACAATGCTAAGAACAAGCGGGTCTCCGACTTTCAGCACCAAGGATACCCGGATGATATACTCCAGCAGAAAAATTAAGAGATTAATGATTCCACCAGATTGGCCCATGAGCCACCGCCTTCTGGGCATACGACTCTAGGCAAAAACATACATGAAATAGTGTATTTGAAATTCTGAGATAAAAAATTCGCCAAGACTTAAAAATATCATTTTATAATTCCCAAAACTTTGTGTAACAGTACATAATTGTAGCACACACAGGGCTTGGCGTGACCAGCCGATTGATTCAACCACCTGTCTAGGTGAAGTAAGGGGCGAAGTGGTGTGTTGGGCAAAGGAACACTGTTCCTGGACCCAGTGCCCTCAACCACCAGACTCCCGTCCTCCACCGACACAGGGGAGCAACCCACGGCAAACAGGTTACCCAATTCGGTCTTACGACCAGCAATGGGGTGTTGTGGACCAAATATGCCCCAGGGTTGAAGAGCTCTTAGCGTTACCCTTCGTCGACAGGTTTTTATAATATACTGTACTTCTATTCCATTTCATTGTCACATATGTTCTCGTCACGATATGGCTGAAATATTGCCGATGTGACGTTAAATAATAACTCACACACTAACTCTTAGCGTTACTACACCAGCACGAGGAGGTGGCCACCATCGAGGATAAGGTGGCTCTTCATGTAATGTAAGATAAATAGGCGGGTGCCAAGATAAAGACCAGAAGATACCCAGAAATGATCATTCCACACAGCACAGCTCTTAAATGCTGGTTGGCATTCAAGTATATGTAAAGGTCACCCGGCTTCCCGGTCCTCAAAAAACATCCTTCAGTGGACGATCATAGACAAGAGGTCTCATGATAAACATTGCATCATAAAATCCTGTGATACGCTACCTGCGCACGCCATCTTCACGTCACCATGAAGAATAGAAACAGTGTGTTGTTCAAGGCACGGCTGATTGACATATATTTCTTCTCTTTCTCACAGTAGATCGGGGACGTGAGTTTTCTCAGTGAAGGTTTTCAGCATTAGAAGTATTCGGACTGGATATAGTTATACATGTTCTGTTTTCCTCGGCAACATAACCTCGGAGATGGCAAAGCAAGACGAGACCTGTTCTGAATGAGTGAGTGAGTGAGTTAAAATTTAAAGTCACTTTGGCAATATTTCAGCCATATCGTGACTAAAACAAGTTAGATTAACAATAAGTAAAGATAGATTATAAAATCCTGTCAACGAAGGACAGTAAAACAACTAGAACATCACAGATATAAATGTAAAACTAGTAATTAAATCTAAAACATTTTTACTATAGAGGACAGCACAATATTAAAATAGGCTATAGATCGCCATCAACTGAGGGTAGATCACCATACCAGGGACAGACCTGTTCTGACGACTGAGCTTTATGAGCAAAATGATCTTAGGGGTTGGGATTTCATAAATGATAGTGTTATAGTGCAAAATCACATGATTTGCATGTGAGGCAGTCGCCCTTCCAAGCATGGCACATTATTCCCTGGAAGGAGAACATTTGCGTATTGTCTTCTGAATGTGAGCGTGTGTGGCTTTGTGTCTTCTGAATGTGAACTGAATACTTGTATACTTTCTTTTGAGATCGCATTTGCAAAATATTCAACCATGCAGACATTTTGAATGTGCCTGGTTCAATCAAAGAGTAAAACAGTGACCATTTGCACAACACTAACATAAATTGAACCAATATCGTTCCTTATTAGTAGATAGATGATGGCTTTTCCTCTTTTAATTCCCCACTCACTGACTGGATATTCATTGTACCTCGTGGCTTCCTCTACATCTTTAGTATTAGTGTATGCCACTGTTTGATTAATAATTCTTTGTAGCTGTTTTCCCACCATTACTTCATTTTGTCTAACGTCCTCAAGAGCGGGGGTGAATACATACGTTGATACGAAAATTAAAGTTCAATAAGCAGACCAATCGCATTACACCTAATTGATAATCCGAAACCAACTGTCGATTTAATGATGTATTAACGCTTGGACAATAGCCACGCAAATACCGTTATAATAAAGTAACCGATAAATTCTCAAATACAACCAATCCCATCGCATACTAGTAAATTACCGTCGGAAACCAATAACACAACAAGTAATTAGGATTAACGTAAGCAAGTTGCATGTCTTACAGGTGAGTATAAACAAGTTAAGATTTTGAGATGAACAAACGTCCAAAATACAGATTGATCAATTAAATCTACACACGTATAACTTTCCACGATGTCAGTCTAAAGTCTCGATAGGCATGCATCGGAAAATGTTTGAAACGATTTGGCTGTAGGAGTAGCTGAAAGACGATTCGAGTCTTTAATATGTTGTCGGGTAAAACCGATAATTTTTGGATCATCTCATGGAGTGGATTGTCCTTATGGCATTAGGTGCTTAAGAAATCGCCTTCTGGTTTACTTTTTTAATCTTGCTCTCTTTGAGACTAATTTGTGTGAGGAAGTACACAGATGTGAGTTTCAGTAGTGATAAAACTTTCGGTTATTGTATTGATATGATTTTATGAAATCTCTTAGTAACTGAGAGAATTTCTTTTGTTGCTCTGTTCATATACTTCCAATCTAGCTTTCTTCAGATATGGACAGTGTGGTGATAGTGGTTACATCCAAAATAATTAGACAATAATGAAAACAACGAGGATGATAACTGCGGATGCATCTTTATTCCTTACTCAGTCACGTACTTGACACTCTTCTCCTGGTCTCCTTGGAAAGGAAGGACAAGAATTATGCATGTCCAACTTCTTTTTTACGATAGGGGGTCAACGTTACCAGGCAAGTGGTGTTCATAGTATATTGAGATGCATATATGCAAATATGACCAAGTGTTTAAACAGCTGATTTGATTTTGGTTTCAACAGATTAAAAAGCCCGTTAAGTACACAGTGGGTAAGATGGACTAAAACCTGAACTGGTGATGCCTGTGTTATAAAGTTTTGATGATTCATCGGAATCTTTGATGTTCAATACAACGGTTCATTATATATAACATCCGTTACCATTAGTGTGTAATACGTTTATTGGTAACAGTATTGTACACACATTATAAAAAGCTTTGACAAACCACACAGTGACTGTGAATAACACCACGAATGAGCAAGCGATGGATGCACACATTCACAAATAAAACTAGTTCATAAACAATAACAGCTTTAGCATGACACACAATATGTAGTCCATGAGAGAGATAGTAAAACATGACGTCAGTAAGTGGATTCCCGATTAGACTTAATGTATTGTTCTTGTGGAATATGTGACTGCAGCGAATGTGTGAGGCGGTGCTAACAACACCAGCAGTTGCTATCCTGCTCGAGAAACAACATTGAAAACCGTAATTACAGAGCGTATCAACTAAGGTCTACATTTACGTATCATACAAACTGAATCAATAACAGAAGATGTAATTGAGAGAACTCGACATTGTCCATGACAATTGTGATATGGATCACAGCAAATATTTAGTTATTCTTCTATCCTGTTCATTTTTTCAAATTTTCAGTTGTTATTCGTCATTAGTATCATGATAGCAAAAGTAATTCCAATCACAACTCCCATAAACAGCAGAAGCAGCGTGTTGTTCAGGGCACGACTGGCTGACATAAATTTCTTCTCTTTCCCACAGCAGATCATCGAAAACGGTTTTCTGAATGAACGTTTCTGAATCGCAACATCAGCAGTATTCTGGTTGGATGAAACATGACATGCAGCGTTGATTTCCTTGGCAACAGAGCCTCGGTAATGGCACAGCAATACAAGAACTGTACTGGCGACTGACATAGCATTCAGCAGAACCATCGACGTCAGGTAGATGACCAGCAGTGGTGGTTTCTCCGACGATGCAGGAATCTGTTCAGTGATGAAGCTCATGAAGACTGCCAGTGACAACAACGCCGACAGTGAGAAGGACAACTTCTCCCCAGACTCTACAGGGACGAGGAACACCATCATACTGAGGATGGAGATGGTGACGATGGGGATGACGATGTTTAAGATGGCAAACAATGGTTTTCTCACAACCTTAAACATGACACTAATTCTGCTGTAACGATGTGGAGCAATGTTGATTTGATCACTTGTCAGCATAGCCCAGTCCACAGTCCACTCAGCATCCTTGTAGTTTCCAATTGTCGTCACTTGTTTTGAAACCGGACGGAATGTGAGTTCTTCAGCAAAATAATCTAATGCGTTTAGACGGATGTTACAAGTCTGACTATCAAACGGAAAATTAGTCATGTCAAAGTTACAAAGGTTGAGAAATACCCAGGAACACGAACCACAACTGATCCGTTTTTGTACAACACACGCCTCGTTGTTGTCTCCATAACATCTTGGTTTCCAACACCGTCTTCATTGAGAATACTTGGAGTCCAAATCTCTCCTTGCTTCGGATGATAGTGTCTCAAATCTCCAAAGTCAGCAGATTTCCACATGAGAAAGTAGTCCTTCCAAGTAAGGTACAGCATTCCTCGGATGGAGAACTCCTTTTGTGTGTTGTCAATGTGATGGATCCTCATGAATTGGAAATTGACATCCACGACAAGAGGATGGGACTGGTTTAGTAACGGCCTTACGTCTGGGGTGTAGTTGGTGAATAGGTGATGCCGTAGACGATGTAAGTCGTCCAGGCTAGCAGAGAATGTCGATTGTCTGGTTGCAACTATGAGCCAGGAAATCAGATGAACTAGAGACATTGTTCCAGAGCACCCTACTTACATAGCAGGCCGTTCTCTCCGATGCACTGTTAGTCTGTACTTGATGTAACGATAGAAACACCCTTCAATGCAGAAGACCTATCACTGATTAGAAGAGTATTATTTAATTGGTTGGATACTGCCTTATATGGTAAATGTCTGGTATATCTGAAGGTATTTCGATGTAATTGGCTTGCGACTGCTTGTGTACACTAGCTCCTAGTTCGACCAGATTGTCTTCTGTATTCGCTTTGTGTTCTTCAATAAACATGATATTACTTAATACTGACTGCCTCTATATCGATTGACAAATCAACGCTACATGTGTTTTAAACAGAGACAAAAGCTGAAGTGAGTTGCAATCAAAACATCAGAAAAATGTCATAATGCCATTTCGCAATGTAACCTGACAACCTGGCTAAACGTATGTTGATGAGATTAGAGTGGTAAACTGATGGTCGAAGGTACAACCGTGAAAATTACCTAGTGCACTGACCAAAGCATTCAGTAGAGAAGCGGACGGGTTGGTATCTTTTGAGTGCGATCTGGATACTTGAGGTTTGGCACTATAATCGGGACTCTTAATAATCCAGCATATCATTAAGTTGTTTTGAAAAAGAACTGTTAACTATGTTGACAATAATGTACTTTCCACCAGGTCGATACAATTGATCCATCTGTGCAGAGGGCGTGTATGCAAACAATCTGCAACGTCTCACAATAGTGTGTAGAATTGTTACACAATGACTAGATTGTTTTATAGGCAAACACATTTCATGCACAGAAGTATATGGATCAATGCCCTTTTCACCCGCAGAGCACCACTGTTTTCCTGGTTTTGAAAAGTGCTGTTTTAAGCACATGTCGAGAAGGAGTCATGAAATAAAAACATGTTAAGAAAAACGCATAAGCCTTTCAGGATTGCATATATCTATAACAAATTTGAGTAAAAACCAAAGTTTCTGTTTATTGATTAATGCTCTAACAATCAGCTTTCTATTCTGTCTTCATCTGACTACAGGCAGAGCAAATCATCATAACTCTTTTGTTTCCAGAGATGTTTAACTTCACCCCTGCTTGTGGTTAAAATCACTACCCCAGCTACGTGTCAGTTTGGTAGCACATCTCATCCTTCATCTCCAAGTCACGCAAATCTTTACTCCTCATGAATTCTAATTGTCAGGAGGTAATGATTTGAAGGTTGCACTCTTTGAGCTGAATGTTTGCTTTTTTTAAGGCCACACTGTTTGCATGAGTTTGGTCACATTCTTTCAGATTCTTCAACCAGAACCAGTTTGGATGATTATTTCTTGAAATGAAATGTTTCCCATACAGATATAACCTGAACTGACACACTGCTTCAACAATGATCTTTAGTTGTTAACGCGTGGCAAAAGTCCTTCCCTAATTTGAATACAGATCTGTTACAGAAGGCTTTCCATTTGCCCCCATATTGCAGTTGGGACAGGCCTTGACTCGGTCCCATTGATGCTATGGCCGAGGTTGTCATGGATACGATATGACATGATAAGGCTGATATTGAGTCACATTTTGTTACTGAGCTCTGAAGTTATCGAACTCACCCACATCAACCAGTACACTTTCTATATGTCCAGCCACAACCAACAGATCCAACAAGCCCTGCAGACTACATGCTTCGGTAATCCTGTCAGTATCAGCAAAGAAATTCAACGCCTTAAACGATTTCATTCCCTTAATGACCATGCCTAACATCTAGTGGATAAACCATTCGGGAAACCCAGCAAAATGATCCCATTTCCAAAACCAAACCAAAACGTCACCAGTCCTGGTCACCATTCCATGCCGAGGTCTTATCGGTCTCCAGATCAGCAGACATTCCAACGTAAATGTGACCAGACACTTTAGAAACATCTCACATGCAAATGGTTAAGGTTCCACCAAGTCCAGTCCGCAGCCTAGGGGATGTGCGTATGAGACAATTACCGCCAGTATGGCCACAACTATCGGAGATGACAACAACGCAGCTTCTTGGTAAACGGTTCTGTTTGACACCGGATGCAGGGCAAACAGAGAGGCGAGCAATGCTATATGATGTTCAACTAATTACAGTGATACTGGCGTGAGCTCTTCTTTATTTTCCATTAACTTTTACCTTTATGAGCTGGTTGCCTGTGAATTTTCTTATGCTGCACCATGGATCATCAATCGAAACAACTAGGTAGCGTTCCTGCCGCTTTGTCACAAGATCTCTGTCTGACACCGGTGACTGTGCATTGATCCCTTTGTGTCACCATTTCTCTTGAGGACATCCCTTTGGATCTTATGCGGGTGTTGAGCCGAGCGACAGCTAAAGAGGGGTTCCTAGGGGTTCCTGGCGCAAGAGCTCTTGTTCAAGCTCCTGTATGGCCCTCTCTGCCACAGGGTTCTTGTTAACGTTCTTGGATCATCCAACCTCAACAGCTAATCTGTGACGCCGTAAGAGATCATCTTTGCCTAGAGCAGTGAAACCAGGGGCTGGATCAACACGTACCACAGAGGGTGGGCCATCCAGAGTTCTACGTTCGAGGCACAATTTGAGCAGAGCGTCTCGCAAATTAAGATTTCTTTCGTCCTCCACATGGTATGCAGTAACACACTCGCGTACCACAAGTATGAGTATTTCAAGTAATATCACTGCATGGGACACCAGAAATGAGCATCACACATCATACCCATATGGGGAATCGAACCCAGGTTTTCGGTGTGACAGGCGAATGCTTTAAGCACTAGGCTACCCCACCGCCCCGTATTGTTTGAGTCTTGTTAGGAGAATAACTCCTCAGAATAACTTATCAGTGCACAGATGTTGTGTTAACGGTTTTGAAGTTTAACATAGGAATAGGAATGCCCGTTGGTTTTTGCAGAAGACACTAATTTTGTCTGTGTCCTCACATCAAAATAACCTAGTTTCATTCCTACTCACATTTCATTTTTGTGCGCAAAGGACTGATTTACATTCACTGCAACCAGTCGAAGATGCTATATGGTCACTTTGACAGCTGGAGCATTTCAAAGGCTGAGCATATGTATTACTGTCATGGTCAGTTTCACCACATCTGAAACAAGTAACCTTACCATTCAGTTGATGTCATTTGAAACAGCGAGTAGGTCGTGGGAAGTAGAGGTCTACTGGCATGTGGTAACAACCAACCTTAACACAACCTTGTAGAGCAGTTATCTCGAAAGTCATGTGATATGTGTTGGATGGAAACGTCCCTTCTTTGGGATGTGTAAATAGTTTGGCTTAACTGTCACGGATTAGGCCCTTATTGAAATTTACTGGGTCTTGTGTGCCAAGCAGCTAACAGGGATATCAGCTATGTTAGTTTAAGAAGTCAAATTGATTTATACTGAACCGCAAAATAAACGCAAGTTTCGAAAAAATGAAATCTGATGAAGGTAAGCTTTCATGTTAATGGAACATTCATGATAAAGTGACGTAATGATCCCAGATGAGATGATGTCATGCAATTTGACGTCCAAACGAAACATTCGCACAAACACACCAACAGTGCAGCGAAACCATAATTTTATCACGTGCATCGACGGTTATGGCTGAAAAGCATGCATTTCACTCTGAGGTATCCTTTATAAAGGTGTGTGTCAAAAAACAGTTCAGTATTGACGCTAGGAGGTGTACACGCCACACAAACGATGCCTAGACTAACGACTGAGCAGAGGGGAATGACCATTGCAAAGGTACACGGAGGTAGCACTGCAACTGCTGTAGCTAGACAATTGGGCTGTCATCTTACCACCATTACACGACTTCCTCAACGTCATCAGTAAAGCGGGTTGCTGCTGATCGTCCCCGTACCGGACTGCAACGAGTGACAACTCATGCACAAGATCGGTTCATCCGGGTCACTCATCTAAGGAACCGAACTGAACCAGTAACAGTAACAGCAGCCTTAGTTCTTGGGTCAAGGGGAGCAGTGCCAAGCGAAACGATTAGGCGCCGTCTTCGGGCTGCTGGAATCGACTGCCGAAGGCCATATGTGGGGCCAATTTTGGCACGTCAACAACGCCAGCGACGTTTCCCCTCACACAGCAAGGGTGTCGATGGATTATCTGGCTCAGAACAACATTAACGTCTCTTTCCCCGGATATGGCTCCCATTGAACATTCTGGGACGAAATTGGACGGAGGATTGCTGCAGGTAGACAGCCACTCACACTTTCACAATTGGAATAGAGATTGGTGTTTGAGCGGAACCAGTTACATCAGGCATTCTTTCAGACTCTAGTGAACTCAATGAGGCCACGTTGCACGGCCTGTGTGCAAGCTCAAGGTGGCTATACGCGCTACTAAAGAGACTGTCACTTTTCGCGTTCAGGGGTATCTCCATTTGACGGACTGTGATCAATTTGAACTTATTGCAATTCAATGTCAACAGCATCTTTTAGCTGTTACATTGACAGTGTTTTCTATAGGATAAATGATTAGACATAATTTGGGTTGTCTTCTATTAAAAAACTTGACAAAAAGCCAGACTTGCGTTTCTTTTCCTGTTCAGTATATTTTGCTTTCCTATAACCTTCTCTCAGAGAGCTCCCAATCGTTAGTTTTTAACATCCTCCGTTTGACCAGCTTTACTTTTAAAAACATTTTCTAGAAAAAAAACCTTTCACATTAGCTTCCAAGACAGGGAACCGCTGCCAGGTGTCCGTTTCAGAACCAAATACTCTTGTCACAATCATCACGGGATTCCAGTTCAGAATTTGAGTGTTGTCGTTTGGTTTGTTTTGATTTGATTTCCCATGATAAAACAGAATGTGGTTCAGCAAACCTGTTCCCTACCCACCATGGAGCGCCAACAGGGGCAATGTTATACATGAGCGTCATTCCAACAAGCTATACTGGGATGATTTACTGAGATAGAAAGGACTACCTAGACTAACCCATGAGCCTCCGCTTTCTGGATAATTAACTCAACTACCTTTTGGAACAGAAGACCTTATCCATATCTTAAGCCATATCTTAAAACTTTATACACAGGGATTGACATGACCAGCCGATTTTGCCATCTGTCAAGGGTCGAGGCGGTGAATTTGGCAAAGGAACGCGATTCCTGGAACTAGTGCCCTCAACCACCAGAATCACGTCCTCCACCAACACAGTGGCATAACCACGACAAAGAGCTCTCCCAATTCGGTCGCCTCTCACCACCAGCAATTGGGAGCTGATGACCTATTCTATCCCCGTTCCGCACAGGAGTACAGTCCTTGAGATAGAATATGTCCTCAGTAACATAGTCATGGCATGGTATATGACGAAATGAAAGATTGTTTGTCAAAGAAGGCGTGAGGCGATTACACAAACAACAGATGTTTCTGACCCAGAATCCTTTATTCACACTATATCTGGAGGATATATCTGCAATATTTCCGAATATATCTGTACACAACAAATCAATTATGAGGAGCATCATCTGAGATCCATGTTAAAATATGGAAATATCCGAAATCTATTTACGAAGTCAGTTGTTATTCGTCATTCGTGTCATGATACCAATAGTAAGTCCTATTACAAGTGTCATAAAAAGAAGAAGCAGTGTGTTGTTCAAGGCGCGGCTGCCTGACTTATACTTCATCTCTTTCCCACAGCAAATCAGTGAAATCAGATTTCTGAAAAAAGCATTCTCCATCACAACATCAGAAGTGTTCTGGTTAGATAAACCGTTATGTGCTCTGGTTTCCTTGGCAACATAGCCTCGGTGATGACACAGCAAGACGAAAACTGTACTGACGACTGACAGAGCATTTAGCAGAACCGTCGACGTCAGGTAGATGACCAGTAGTGGCGGTTTCTCCGACGATGCAGGAATCTGTTCAGTGATGAAGCTCATGAAGACTGCCAGTCACAAGAACGCCGGTAATGAGAAGGACAGCTTCTCTCCAGACTCCACGGGAATCAGGAACACCGTCATGCTGAGGACGGAGATGGTGACGATGGGGATGACGATGTTCAAGATGGCAAACAAAGGCTTTCTGGCAACCTGGAACATGACACTAATTCTGCTGTAGCTATGTGAAGGAACGATGATTTGACCATTTGTAATTGTAGCCCAGACCACAGTCCATTCAGCATCTTTGTTGTTTCCGATGATCGTCACTTGTTTTGAGACAGGACGGAATGTGACTTCTTCAGCAAAATAATCTAAGGAATTCATTTGAATTATACAAGTCTTACTGTCAAATGGGAAATACGTCATCTCAAAATTACAAAAAAGTTGAGAAATACCCAGGAACACGAACCACAACTGATCCATTTTTGTACAGCATACACCTATTTATCGTCTCCATAGCGTCTTGATCTTCAATACCGTCTTCATTCAGAATGCCTGGAGTCCAAACCTCTCCCTTCTTTGGATGATAGTGTCTCAAACCACCAAAATCAGCTGATTTCCACGCGAGGAATTCGTCCTTCCAAGCCAGGAACAATATTCCACGGATGGAGAACTCCTTTTGTGTGTTGTCAATGCGATGGATCCTTAAGAACTGGAAACTGACATCCACAAGTAAAGAATGTGACTGGTTTAGTAATGTCCTTACGTCTGAGTTGTAGTTGGTGAATAGGTGATGGCGCAGACGATGTAAGTCATTAATGGTGGCAGAGAATGTCGATTGTCTGGTTGAAACAATCAGCAATGAAATCATTTGGACTAGAGACATGGTTCCAGAGTACCCTACACACTTAGTAGGCCGTTCACTCTGTTAGTCTGAATAATAGAAACACCCCCGTTTAGGCAATGCAGAAGCGTCCGATCTCCCGTGGGTTGGAGAAGTAGTATTTAATTGGTTCTGTGCTGCCTTATATAATATGTTAAATGGGTGGTATATTTTAAGGTATTTCGATGTAACTGGATTTCTGTATCTTGTTTAAACGTCCATCTAATTCGACGATACTGTCTTCTCTACACACTTTGTGTTCTAGAACAATAAACATGGCATTATGTGACTTAGTGGCCTCTATATTGATTTACAAATCTAAAGGTACACTAGACAAAGCCGAAGTGGATTGAAATCAAAACAGCAGCACATAATTGTGATAATGTCAGGTCTGTAAGCTGACTTCCTGGCAAACAGTACGCGAAGGTAAACAGATGGACAAAGTTGCGTCCGGGGGAAAGAGTGCATGGGTCCAAATCATGGGAATGGTGTAGAGCGAATTGCTTGAGATCTTCTGAATGTAAACTGACATTGTAT